TCACTTTTAAGCTACTGCTTGTTCACTATGCAGACTTCCTTCAGAAGAACGAGCAATAAGGATTGCTCTTTTCAAATAACCTTATTTGCTATAGAATCAAATTTGTGTGGAATTTAGAGCCATGTTGTCTTTCCATATACCGTCATACACGTGTCGTTCATTGTAATAGTGAATTATCGCCTTGTAATTAAATTTTGAAATAACGATCTTTGCAAATTAACGAGTAGAAAAAAATACAAGTGTTCATTCAGTGTTTTTAATTTTTCATTGTTTAATACAATTCAAAGGTGTAATGTATGTAATAAGAAAAGTCATTTCAGTCATTTTGCAGATGTGACCTCATTACGCAAAGGTTGCGATAGACACGTGAGCAAGAATTTACATGCTTCAGAAGTTTAATTGAGTGATGAACTGAAGAAGTTAAGACTGTAGAAATATGTCATAATTACAAATGGGCATAAAGCACTAAGGAAAAAACCAAATATAAATACGAATTTATTTAAAAAAGCGAGTCTCTCGTCCCCTCATGTATACAGTTGAATACATTTAAAAGGCGTACTACGTCGAAGCCACATGGAGGGAAAGTACCTTAAATACTATAAGACAGAAAATTTTAGTGAAAGAAGACTTCGTTTTGATTTTAAAAATAATTCGAACTGCATTCAAAGACTTTTAAATAATCGCCTGTCTGAGCCGGGAATCGAACACGTCAGATTGGAAAAAAACCTGTAATGTAACATTTCATTTGAAAATTTATTCAGAAAAATGAATATCCTTTTTTCTGACTTTGCCGCGCTCATAACAACTGACATTACCATTTCAAAGTATTACTAATGAGTACGAACTTGAGAAATATGAAAAGTTTGGGAATTTTTATATTACACAATGTGACACATTTTGAGCATTTGATAACTTAAATTGATTGTAAGTGGCAGTTAAATTTATCTAATTATTTTAATTAAACGTTAAATTTCACGATCTTCCTTTTATTTTCCTGTTATTTCCAAGAAAACAATCCTTACGATCGATCAGTATAGTAACATTTTTTTTTTGCATATTTGGCGGGTTTTATTCTCGATTCAGACAGGTGATTATTTAAAAATCTTTGAATGCAGTTCGAATTATTTGATTTTTAATTCGGGACTTAATCACGTATAAAACATATTTTATTTAACTCGACGTTTCGGACATATTGCAACGTCCACGGTCTCGAAGGGACTGAAGAGGCGAGGCATTTTCTAGGCGTGCGAGTTTTTCGATATTCATTATTTATTTGTGCACTAGGGTTCTCACAGGTCAGGGTTTGTTTGAAAAAACAAATATACGCGATTGAAATCCGGAAAAATAGTTTCATTTCCTATGTGTAACAATCGCGAAAATCTAAGAACTCGATAAGTCTTTTTTGAGTAAAATTTTCTATCTACAGTATTTAAGTTACTTTCCCTCCGTGGGGCATAGCCGTGTGGTATATTGAAAATGGTAAATTACAGTGTATAGTAGAACAGAAGTGTATGTGCACTGTATGACTAACGTAATGAAAAATATGAGAACATACCCTCAAATGTTTGGAAATGCCTGGCTCGCTGTTGCGACGGTCGGCGCGTGTCGCTTGGCACGCCGCGAACACTGACTCGTCGTCTGCCATCAATTATTACAATTTAATTATAACTTCAATACAACAGTATGTGATAAAAGTACTACAATTTATACTTAGAGAATAATCATTTATTTATAAGCGCGCTGGATTACCTTTCGGATCGAAGTGGTAGAGTTAAATTTAGCATGTTTATCGTGTAGCGAATGGTTGTTTTATGTTACAGAGTGGTTAGTCATCGGAAACTATAAGAACATTGAAACTTACGAAGAAAATCTGAGCATTTGTTTGTTTTTTGTTTGAAAAAACAAATATACGCGATTTAAATCCGGAAAAATAGTTTCATTTCCTATGTGTAACAATCGCGAAAAACTAAGAACTCAATGATTAACACTAGTATCAGGTTTCTTACCACGGTATGACTTCTTTTTATTTTCCCGATATTTCGGAACGGTTGCACGCTCGATGGTCCCGTGACCACGAAACCACGAAAGTCTTAAAATCTATATAACTAAGAACTCGATATCTGAGCATTTGTTAAAAGCAACTTTGAGCGATTTATATTAAGGTTTCATTATTTTCCAACGAATTTTGTTTACAATCAAAAGTATGCTTTATAATTATTGCAATTAGGTTGTTTCAAGATATTTCGGCAGGTTTGAATGCTGATATTTTATTGACACAGACATAACATATTATATAGGCGTTTTATACAGTGCCTAGAGACATAATATCAAGTCGTTAAAAATATGATCGAAGTAAAAAATTTTATTAATATCAGTAAAATAATTGGAAAATGCCAATATTAAAACAAAATTGTAAAAACCAAAAATATGTAAAAAATATAATTAAAAAATTTCATTTTGACCCCGACGTGATTTGAACACGCAACCTTCTGATCTGGAGTCAGACGCGCTACCGTTGCGCCACGGAGTCACACAGTATGCGCGCCGAAATACGACAACGTTTCTTGTAGAGTCAATGCCGAACGATTGCAAATCTTTGATACGTATGTTAAATAGACGTTACGATTAGTTCAAATGTTATTGACTCGCTGCTTATATTTTTTTCTCGTATGCTCCTATCTCTATTTGACGAATTCTTTGGGAGTATTTATTTGAATTATTTATTTTTGGTATTCAAAGAAGTTTAGTAGAAAATCGTAAGAAGGTAACATTTAAATGTCTTTTTTTTTTCAAACGGGAGAAGAGAAAATTCGCGAAAGAGAAAACATGAGTTCTTTAGAGAAAGTCCTTCAGAATCATGGGTTGTGTGTGTGGATCAAAATACGATAAAATTACGATTTAATTTTTATTCATAAATTGGCAGTAGCTTGGCTATCACACCTGATTCTTAAGCTACGATGGCACGCGTTTGTTTAATAAATGCTTGTGTTCCTTCCTAAATTGCAATTTTCGAGTGTATTCCATTGCCGTTACGAATTAGGAAGGAGGAAGCAAAGCGCTTGACGCGTATGTGTGACTTAAAAAAGGTTAGTAGGTATAAAATACCTATAACTGCCTCCGTGGCCGAACGGTTACCATGCTGGACTGCCACGCAGAGGTCACTGGTTCGATTCCCGGGCCGGGAGAAATGTTTGTATGGCTTACATTTATTTCTCTCGTGAGTTTGGGTGTAATTTGTGGTTGTCTATGTGTGTGTCCATGGCACCCGCGACACAGGGTTTCCCTAGTGCGGGGCTATGTTGAGTGTGTGCGTTATTTATTTTATTAAAAAAAAAAAACTACTATGGAAGTTTGTATTTAAGTTTTTAATTTTTTTTTATTCTTATTTCATTCAAGTGAAACAAACCGCCATAAAACAGGTAGGTGCTAAACATTGATAGAACAAATATGCTTGGAGTTCCACAAACATAAACAAGAATGTCATGTCTTTACTAGATATCGCAAATAAAAGTAAGAAAAAACAAGTTCTCTTACTTTCTTCAAAACCATGTAAAGATAACCTGAATATGTCTGTATTATTTAGGGTTTTATTATATTTTTTAACCGACTTAAAAAAGGAGGAGGTTCTCAGTTCGACTGTATGTTTTTTGTACATATGTTACGCAATTACTCCGACATCATGGTTCTTTTATTGTTGAATGTACTGAGGTACAGTGGTCCTATTTAATTTTGATGAAAATATTCTACCTCTAAGGGTGGCAAATTACCCCATGAATCCGGTTTATTGATTTTCACCCACTTCTTGTTAATCGATTTCAATAAAACTGCAATAATTGTAATAAACTGCCTCCGTGGCCGAACGGTTACCATGCCGGATTGCCACGCAGAGGTCCCAGGTTCAATATTTAGGTTAAATATTTGTATGGCCTATATTTATTTCTCTCGTGAGTTTGGGTGTAATTTGTGGTTGGCTATGTGTCACCCGCGACACAGGGTTTTCCTAGTGCGGGGCTATGTTTAGTGTGTGCGTTATTATTATTATTATTATTAATTGTAATGAAAATAAAATATTCTGGTGAGCTAGAGTCATCGAGTATATACCAGAAATAAATAAATAAATAAATAATAAATAAATAACGCACACACTCAACATAGCCCCGCACTAGGGAAACCCTGTGTCGCGGGTGCCATGGACACACACATAGACAACCACAAATTACACCCAAACTCACGAGAGAAATAAATGTAGGCCATACAAACATTTCTCCCGGCCCGGGAATCGAACCTGGGACCTCTGCGTGGCAGTTCGGCATGGTAACCGTTCGGCCACGGAGGCAGTTAAATGGAGACGAAATGTCATTTAATTTGTTTGAAAACTATTCTGCCAAATCATTATGGTGACACCTGCGCTCCGATTGGCCAGGCCGAATTTGCACAATTGACGGGTGTCGTCAATTATTTAACTTGAGGGTTGCTATAATGGACAAAAATTTAAAAATTACATATTTAATATTTAATTACCGATGAAATGTCATTCCGTTTGTTTTGTAATTAGATGTTTTGCTGTTTTTCCCACACCACCGAATGGAATTGACCCATAGTTAGAATATACGAATACGTGGAATATACGAAAACGTACACACAGGTAAGTTGTTGGCGTTGTACTATTTCAGCTTTCTAATTTGTGATTTCAGCACATACGAGGGTCGATATTTAAAAGTTTTGAGAGTTGCCAGGGATGGATGGCCCTTATTTCGTCTCTATTTCTGGTTATATACTCGATGGCTAGAGTTGATCTTATGATGGAAATGGGTCCTCAACAGCATATAGTTACTCTGGGTTCAAATGATTCGTTTTGACGAGGTCTTCCATAATGCGTTCCAGTCATCGTTGAGTTTTATAAAAAAAAGTTATAATTATATTCTGTTCTGCAATATCAAAACAATCTATGCAAGACAAGGAAATTAGCGATAATAAATTGTTAATTAACTGATATGTTATCGCGTACATTTCACATACATTCTTTATCTGTTTGCTAGATAATTAGAAATACGTATAGATAAACACGAGAATACACATAATATACCAGCACATACACACACCGCAATGTTTTTTCAAAAGACTGGCCGGTTGTTTTATTTTACTATTTTAGGTCTAATTTGAAAATAGAAACTTCATTTGACTTCGAGTCGAGTATAATTTTAACCCCGACCGACGAACAAGTTTACAATTACTTTTCATTCATACAGGTCTATCGAGCTTTCGAGTTTGATTTTTCGTTCTTTTTTTAATTTCGTAAGACTTTAATTGCAAAAGCTTTCTTCTCTTTCTTTATCTTTGATTTTTTAGTTAATGACAAAGTGTTAAAATTTTATATTTTCTTTTCCTTTGTGTTTTATCACACAAAATGTAAAAAAATGCATTTTATTTAATTTCGGTTTTGTTCAATGCCGGTTGAGTAAGCTACTACTAAACTGATGTTAAATGATGTTGATTGCGAAATTTGGAAAAGTATCCGGCTAAACACAAAAGAGAAAACAGTGAAATTTGCTTCTACTTTATCAGCAGGCGTTAATACGTAAAATACAGACCTAAGACCAGACATTGAAATATGACAACTATACGAGTTTTTAATTTGTCTACGACACCTTGAAAGGCACACAAAATTGGCTAAACACACAAATAGTGTTGACAAGCAGTGCAAATCCATTAGTAAGCGCTATTATTACTCGGTCCAACCATTTATTTAACTTTTGACAGCTCGAATTCTAATCAATTAGTGATCTTCCAATGCGTTTCTGATTCGATTTTTTTATAACAATGAATTTTTTTTATGAAAAAGTTTCAATCGTGAATGTGAGCGGGTTAAACACAAAAGGTATTGTCTGATAGGGATCGTAATGTTGCGTTTGTCAATTTGTGTACTCAAGAATTCATAATTAATGTTAATGAGAATTCATTTCCTTTCATTAGGTATAATTTGTTAGACATGTGCCGAAATTTATCAACTTGAATAATCTTTATTGCACAATCTGTTGGCTCGATAAATATCGGAGCCAAACAGCACGCTGTTTCACTAAAATTAAAAAATAAAAGAGTCCCGGAAGTATTGCATTTTTTATTTTTATGGTTGTATGTTTATAATCACGGAACTTCGGAGACGTGGAAATGTCAACGACGTAGTATAGAAGTACATAAGTGAGTTAGAGGATGGGCTGTAACATACAGACGGACGGAGAGACATAGAGATATGACAGTAATAATAATAACGCACACACTCAACATATGATAACTCTATAAGTTTTTAATTTGATTACGAAACCTTGAAAGGCATCTGGCACACAAACAGACGTCGAGAGTGTTGTAGAACAGTGAAAATGCACCTAGTTTATTGGTAGGCGTTATTAATAGTACATTAGATATCTAAATGACTAATGAGCACAATAATGATCGGTACATTTTTTGTCCCGTATCTTTTCGGGATTCGGGAAATCACTTAAGTACTTTAACTGAGCCGGTTCCTGAGGTAGCTGCGCGGTGCGGGAGGAGTGACAGTTTACGTAACAGTTATGTTGCGCTGCTAATGGGGGTAATTTCAACAAGATTTTTCTGACGACATTCAATAGCAACTTGATTGAATAAACAATTGCAATAAATATTAGTAGAGTTTCAATGGAATTATAATGACCAATGGTTTCAAGAAAATTAGGTTGATTTTTCTGATCGGCTCAAGGCAACCATTGGTGAGACCCTTAGTTATGACAAGGAGCGCAGCACAGTCTTACAATTTATAATAGAGTACTACTTACCTATAAACATAGTTAAGGCAGTGGCAGCGTGGTTAGCGTGCATGGCGTTCAACGGCCTATGCGCATGGGCGTTCCACAAGGCTCTCGCTAGCAGCGCAGCCGCAGGCGAGTCACCTGTTCGGGCAGCCGAGGATAACGCTTGCGAAGCGATTTCGGTGGCCTCTTTACATTCTACACCAGCGCCGCATACGTTTACAAGAACTCCTGCCGCTGCACAGCGGACACTTGCGTCGTCTGTTTGAAAGAAATAGTCAATCGTGGAAGATAAACTATATTTGACTGGTATGTGTATGGAGTTTGTTTATCCAGGATTCAAAACGAACGAATTCATTTCGGTCAAGGCCGCAGCTATTTCTCTATATAAAGTTAAAACAAAATTGTCCCTAAAACGGAACCCTGGGGGACACTACAAGTAATTACGGTCTTTTTTATTTGTCTTATCAACAACCTGAGACACAGTGCTTGTAATCACAAAGATCTGAGGGGCATGCACTGCGCCCGTCTACCTGAGACAAGTTGACAAGTCACACGTGTCTGTAATTTCATCAGTGCCCCTTTAAAGCAGGAATTCTCACATTACTTCTTGACGCCAGAACTGACGACGAACTCCTTCAGAAGGATCTGTTAGTGCTACTGATACTATACTGTATAAATTTAAAACAAAATTGGTCCTAAAATGGAACCCTGAGGGACACCACGAGGTACTAAGATCTTTTTGTTTTCTCAACAACTTGAGACTTAGAGCTATTTAGTCGCAAAGCTCGGAGGGGCACTGCCACTGCGCCCGTCACTCTGACAAGTCCCACGTCCCTGTAATTTCACCAGCACCCATGCCCTGCAAAGCTGGAACGCAATAATTCTTAATTACAGCTTGGCGCTAGAAATAGGTAAATCGGCAGTATTTCCCTGGACGAACTCTTTCAGAAGGCGCTGTTACTGCTACTGTTACAATACTGTATAAATTTAAAACAAAATTGGTCCTAAAATGGAACCCTGAGGGACACCACGAGGTACTACGGTTTTTTTATTTGTTTTATCAACAATCTGGGACAGAATTGATTACTGACCGTGTTGAAAGAAAGGCACGAGTTTTTCCATAGCCCCTTCCAGCACAATGAGTTGCGCTGCCTTTGTAGCGCGAGTCAAATTGCCGAGGGCCCGCACCGCCTCGCATGACGCCATACCTGAGCCGCTCAGCCATTTACACGTAACTGAACAAATATATAAACTATCATCAGCCCTTAGAATCGAATTGTTAGATGAAGTTCTTTCGTATATTGCACAATTGTCTTTGATCTTGCGCGTTCCTCTTCACCACCAAAGAAAACATTGTGAGGAAACCTGTACAAAGTCGCGGGCAGCAGCTAATAACTAAAATTTTAAGTAACACGAAACTATATAATAAGATATTTTAATAGCACCGATATTTCTAAACAATTATCAATGTCGCATCCAGATGCACTCACTCCTATATCTGTTAAGTTTGGAAACAGAATAAATTTCTTCACTACTTAGGATTTCTAAAAATTAAAATATATCATACACTACCTTTGTATGTGATAGTATACAAAATTGTAGTCTTTGAGAATTTAATTTCAAGTATTTTTAGTAGTAATTTACGTATTCGTAATTTATAAATTAGTTACATTACAAAATAAGCTGAGGGTATGAGATGGGTACGCTATAGCTCGAATTTTGACAAACATGGTTAGATAGAAAGATAGATAAACATTTTATTCGCTGAAAAAACATAACATGATTGTCATAGCAGTGAAAGTGTGCAGACTCAGCATATGCCAAAGTTTCCTAAGGCGCTGGTTTTCAGTCAGGTCCAACGAGAGGGATTATTTGAAAGCAAAAATATAATGACTGCGTAAAATTATACACTGAGAGTAATAATATACATAGTAAAGTGTAAATGGTGCATCTAAAATAACCTATTGGATATGTAAGTGCATGAGCGAATGCGAATATAATTACAGCTGCAGGAGTAAATTGTGATTGTAAAGAGGATGTGAAATTTGTCATCTAAGTGAATTGTTGTTATAACTCTTATGAGAAATAAATATTTTTTAAACCTCAATAAAGTATTACGAACTGCGTTATGCCAGTTTCATGGAATTAATTAATGAAAAGCGTTTAGAAAAAAATCACCTGATCAGTGTTTTTTGTTTTCGGTTGATGTTCGAAACTTGTCATTTATTTATTTCAAACAAAGCTCAATCTTTTAATAAAAGTTATTACACAGTTTTTGCGTACTTATATAACAACTACCTCGATGGCCGAACGGTTACCGTGCTGGACTGCCACTCGTAGAGATGGGAAAAAATGCTTATTTTTTAAACGTTAAAACGTGCTTTGTTTTTAAAGACGCGACTTTCTAAACACTTTTAACTTAAACGCTTTTTGGTTTGAAGCTTACAAAATCGTTTAGAAAAACGTTTAGGCGCTTTTTTTAAACGTTTTTTTAAAAAAGCATGCAACGTTGTGTTGACAGCGAAAAGCAAGAGTAGACCACTAAAGGTTTTAAGATAAGTAAGTTTATTTGTAAAATACGAGTTTTATTTACAAAATTGTTATTCACACTGATGAATCAATTTGTTTAGAAAACATAATATAGATGGCGGGACTTGAAACTTAAGCACGTTGTTAACGCTTACCCTTAAATTGAAAAGCGTGCTTATGTGCTTATTTTAAAAAGCTAACTTTTTTAAGTGCTTTTCGTTTAAACGCCCGCCTCTAGCCACGCAGAGGTCTCGGGTGCGATTCGCGGGCCGGGAGAAATATTTGTATGGCCTACATCTATTTCTCTCGTGAGTTTAGGTGTAATTTGTGATTGTCTGTGTGTTGTCCATAGCACCTGCGATACAGGGTTTCCCTAGTGCGGGCCAATGAGAGTGTGCGTTATTATTATTAAAATCCTTGGCAATGACCCGTTTGTCCTTTCAAGTTGTTCTTATCTATGATATTTGAAACATTGACTTACCAACAAAGTCGTGATTTGAATTAAATGTTGTAAATTGTAAATGTGAACAAAATGTTATTTATAAAGAACCTTTACAATAGTCGTTTTAATCATACCCTTGGTGTAATTAAGCCACATGCGATACGTCAAAAGTGCTTTTGTCATTTGTATATATCTTTCTTTCTTTCTTATATGAAAGTCATAAAAATAATACGGTACATGATACGAAGTGTGCATAATGTGAAATTTTACAACTCTCGTATTTAAGAGTCTACTATTACAACTTCAAATGGCTTTGGTTGAGTCTGACTCTAAAACTGTTGAATCAATGAATCACTTTGGAAAAAATATATAGTAAAATTGAGGATATATTTAAAAAAATAATTTATCATAATGTAGTTTCTGGTCTTCGCTGTGAGCGGTTTACCTTTACACAAATGGTCCAGGGTTTCGTCCAAAGGATCTGGAGGATCGGGCGGTTCACGGTAGAAAGTGATGTTGTTTAATGTCGCCAAAGACGCTGTTGCCAGTTCATCGTGCCGTTCCATCCAACTAGGTGGTTCCTCTTTGGACTGTTCCTGCACCTGATTAATTTTAAAATATTACGATTTGTAAGTATAGTGCTCATTGCTATTGAGGATTCCCAATGGGGCCAGATGAAAAACTTAAAACGAAAATTAAAAATTATTTATTTAAAATAAAAAATAAGATTTTGCAATGATCGTCAGTAGCGGTTGCTTAAACCGTGTTAGCAAAATATAAGGATATAACATCTAGTATATAACCAGAAATAGAGGTGAAATAAGGACCATCGCATGAGTTGCCAGGGATGGATGGCCCTTATTTCGTCTCTATTTCTGGTTATATGTATACTCGATGTCTAGAACTCTCTAATGCCTACTACTTTTATTACATAAAAATACGTCAGCAGCACATGTTTTCGGTAAGTGCCATTATTCGATTTGCGGCAATAGCCAATCCACATTTGAGATTGACCAAGGAAGATATTCTTTATATCTTACAAGGAAGATGTTCTTTATATCTACATTCTAGAGCTCAAGCTCTTACCGGTTTTTGCGCTAGTTTCTCAGCTAAACGTAAACAGCTCAACAATGCTTTGATAGTTCTCTCAGCGTGAACGTCCGCTAGACCTCGTCCTGCGCGCTCTGCCAGGCATAGGTTGGCTACAACTCGTACTGTCTGTATTGTTAACAATAAGAGGGGTATAGAAGCAAAACCGTCCCTGTCCAAAATTTACTTTTTTTAAACTATGAACATTGACATAAAATAAATGGACGACGGGTCTAATACAAAAACCACGAAAAAAAATGTCCCAAGTCAACCTATTGAAACGTAGTGACATGTAAAGGAATATGAAAAAGCTAAAACGATGAATTTAAATTGTAATGTCATCGCAGTACTGTTTAATTTTGCTTGCTTCGCCGTCAGTCGAACAAACGAAGACTAAAGCGTGAATGACGCTCTGTATGCGATTTTAACGCCCTATAAGTTCGGACACTTTTAAGCGCGGACCCGACGTCCATATAATTGTAAGTCAATGACTATGAATGTAATTTTGTTTGTTTCTTCTATTGCTTCAAGGTGCAGAGACGTATAGACTCTCCGAAAATCGCTCCGAACAACGGGGGTAAGACGCAAACTTGACAATGTCCATGATTGGGTCAGAAACAAAAACGATATTGTCCATTTCAACCAACCACAATGCGTTTTACTTCATAGATTCAATATGGCGGTTTAACTTTTCGTGAAGAGCTTACGCTTGAAAGTTTTATTGTTTTTACTGTTTAATCTTTTGAAAATGGAAGAAAATGTGCAACCAGTTTGTTCAAGACCTTCTAGGTAACATAATCGTGATTCAGAAACATGGAAGAGAACCCGCGAAAAAGCAAATATGTGAGTTTTGAACTAGACTAAATTTTCAATACATTGTAGGGTAAACGGGTACCTACGTTTACCCTACAATGTATTGAAAATTTAGTAGATCCATCAAAAGGTATTTTGATGGATCTGCTAGTCAGTTTAAAATATTATTGTCAACTACTTTTTTTTCGCACATGGAGAAAAGTTTGCTTATTAAAAGTAGTTTTTGTTTTGGACTACATGTTTACAGATATACACCGAAAAGATTGCTCTTGTTTGCAATATGTCAACATTTTGATGAAAAATATAAGTTAATATCTCAGTTCATTCGTCAATTATGATGCCTACTTGTACTTGGTATAAAAATAAACAAACATGGTTCGATAATTTTCTTTACTTAAGATTTTCGTTTCGGCTGATACAAATTTAGGTCTTTTACCCAACTTATGAAAATGGCGGAATCGCTAGACGCAAAATTACCATATTCCCACCTGTTAAGATGCAAAGTCGATAATATCCGTTCATTAGAAGCAAATTCGTTAGTGTCCATCGTTTTTTGTTTTTTTATTAGGGTGTTACCATTTGTTTTTTGTTCGCTTTTGTTCAATTTTGCTAATTGTAACGCCATCCAACAGCCAGTAAATTTTTGTAATTAATAGATGGCAAGAAGATGTTGAAACGAACAGGATCTCGTTTCCTTGATTTGGATCCTCTAGGACAGAGTTGACTTTGTTTCTATACCCTTCTAAATGAAGTATGGTTCTTAATTTATTCACTCGACAAAGGTTCAAATTCGAACAATTCAAAAAAGTCCAATTAAGAATATAAATATTTAATACATAATATAGTATAATTACAATAAGCAATATGAGCCTGTAATAATCTAAAGGCTTTAGTAAATAGAATAAGGTTTTAGTTAATTAGGGTATAAGTTTAATTTATTCAAACTTTGTCTTTTGCTGTGCCCTTACAGGGTGCATATCTTTGTAAGTCATGTTATCAACCACTTTGTGTACTAGATTATGGTACGTAATAAAGTATTGAGTATAGAACTTGAAGAAAAATTTCTTTAATCCGGCTGGATACGAACCAGTAACATTTGGAGTCCATCCGGATCGAAGGAAGTTTTCTTTGAGTTTGTTTGATCTTTGTATCAATGGTTATAACAAACTAGTGGAGTATTTTCACAAAAAATATATAAATAAACATTCTTTTCTGTATTTTGTTTCAGACTTAAAGAGATTTGTACGTTTACCGACCTTTATGAGAACATCCTCATTTGATCCATCTGATCCGCCCAAATCTGAAACTGAAGTAATTAATCTGTTAGAATCGAAAAGAAAACTTTTTCCGGAACTAAATCGCGTATATTTGTCTTTTCTTTGTTTGAAAAGTTTCTGGAGCCATGGGATCTGTAAAAAGATCCAGAAGACAAAAACACGTGTTTAATTTATTCACCAAAGATTAATATTAAAATTTGGACTGTACTACGCAATTTAGTCCCAAAAATATGGTTTCACTTGTCCTTTCCAGTGAACCAAAGAACTGTTATAATTAGTTAAAAACTCATTTAAGTTGGAGGAGAGAATTGGTTTTTCGGCATTAAAAAATACCTATTCAACTTGTTTTTCCCTTTCATAATGAAAACAGAAGATACAACTAAAAGCGAATATTTTATTCATGCAATTGATATGAAATCGACACAGTCGCCGATTGCGGCAACCGCAATTTGTATGAAAATTTAAGTTCGCTTCTAGTTGGCGGTTGCTTCTATCCAACACACGTTTGCGCGGCGCCTGACATGATTGACTAAATTTCCCTTCCTATTACAAAATTAAAAAAAATCAATCCTAAAATTTTAATTTTTTACTAAGGGTATCTACGAAAAATCAGTTTCTTAGAGATATTCCTATGAAATTTTATCTCTTGTAGTATTATTGAAAAAGAAACATGTTACACCTGGTTTAGTCTGCCGAAGTGCATGTGACTGAATGTATAATTATACATAGGGCGCACTATAAGTTTCCGGAACTGGCCACTTACATAAACAATATTCAAAAAATTATTACAACTTTTGAAAATGGAACTCTTTGTCTGTAGAATACAGTTTGTTTCATCTGACTGTCACTTGTTTTTACATTGTGGCGTCATATTTTTAGAAATTGGTTGTCTACATCATCATGGATTTAACTCGTGAAAATTTTCGTAGTATGATTTTCTACGACTTTAAGTGTAATTTAACAGCTTTGCGGAGCTTCGCTTGGTTTCAAACTTGGCTTTTGGCGATAAAGCACCATGCAAGACGACTATTTATAGCTGGTTTGCAGAATTCAAACGCGATCGTGTGAATCTCAGTGACGAATTTCGTGATGGTCGCCTTCCACTGCTGTGAACAACAAAAACATCGATGCTGTGCGCCGTATGATCAAAACAGACAGGCATGTGACATACCATGAGATTCGGGTATCTTTAGGCATAGGTATGAGTCAAATACAATCAATACTACACAAACATTTGGGTGTGAACAAGCTGTGCTCTCGGTGGATCCCACACAATTTGACTGAGGTTTAAAAAATGGATCGCGTCACTTGGTGCAATGCCATGCTTACCAGATTCAACGAAGGGGCGTAAAATTTGGTGTGAGATATAGTAACAGGTGACGAAACATGGATTTATTGTTACGATCCCAAATCAAAGCAGTAATCAAGCGTATGGCTCTTTCGAGATGAGCCGAAACCAACCAAACTGGCGCGCGTGGAAAGTGCCTCTAAGTGGCTACTGTTGCTTTAGTTAATCGTTGTACCGTGAATAGTGATTGGTACACAATCATTTGTTTGCCGAAAGTTATTGACAAAAATAACCGTAAATGCCGTATCATCTTGCACCACGATAATGCCAGTTCTCACACAGTTAGACAGACAAATGAATTTTTGAAGGTGAACAACGTTGACCTTATGAGCCATCCCACGTACAGTCCCGACCTGGCACCTTGTGACTTTTATTTGTTTCCAAAAATTAAGAACCAGTTACGCGGTCAACGATTTTCATCACCTGAAGAGGCTGTTGAAGAGTATGAAAATATGTTTCAGAGATTGTCACGGAGGAGTGGCATAATTGTTTTCAAAATTTGTTCATTCGTATGAAAAAGTGCATTAACGCTAACGGAGAATATTTTGAGAAACAATAAATTAATTTCTGACCATTTATAGTATTTTTTTCTTATTCATTCCGGAAACTTAAGTGCGCCTCACGTACCTTCAATAATGTATGCCTAATGTTTAGCCGTCGGAAAAAGACGATCGCCGAATCCAAGTCGGATCGGCAAAAAAAGTGAAAGGAAACTTATTTTGTACATGTCAACTACTATACAACCTGTGTTTTCACAGATAAATGAATTATGAACAGATTTTTTTTATATCTTTATAAAGATATAAAGTACGCACCTACAAGATGTAGATCGGGGTCAATTTCAGGTTCTTTGACATAACTATCGTTCCGTTTCGTATACGACTCTAATATAGTTAGGAGTACATCCACGCCGCCCTCTTCTTCGTAGATCTGCCAAACAACAAATCTCATCACCGTATATTCAAACTTTAATTATTTTTATCTACAACTGCAGGCACGATATGGCGCGACTTCTGCGAGAGCGACGTAAAGCGCAAGCTCAAGTTGCGCCCTGTCCTGCTAGCTCTATAATATCTAGTAGCAGTAGAGCTCCTTGTGCAAGAGTTTGTCCAGGGAAGTACTGCCACCTTACCTATTTCTGCCGCCAAGCAGTAATCTCAGCATTAGTGTGTTCCGCTTTTGAAGGGTATGGGTGCTGGTGAAATTACAGGCACATGAGACTTATCAACTTATGTCTCAGATTGACGGGCGCAGTGGCAGTGCGCTTCAGATCTTTGCGATTTAAAGAGCTGAGTGGCACTGCATCTGTTAAGGACAGGCGTGTAGCTTAGCATAAGGGGCACGATTTGTCCGTCCTGTCACTTGATATTATAAAAAAATAAAATAAATAATTTGAGTTAACATATTAACGGTCTCACCACACTTATATTAACATATGAAGCTGGTCAGAAGTTTGTTAAAGTTTAGTTTGTTGTTGTTGTTGTTGTTTTTTTATGATACTAAGACGAGACGAAATGGCAGTTGCAGTGCCACTCAGAGCTTTAAATCACAAAGATCTACGGACACTGCTACTACACCTTGCACCCTGAGACAAGTTCCATGTGCCTGTAATTTCACCAGCACCAAGCTGGAATGCAGCAGCCCTCACGTTACTGCACCGTGGCAGAAATAGGAAACACAAGGAGCTACAATAAAAAAATCGACAGAAGAACCGACGAAAGATAAAATATCACTAAAAATTTGGTCACACATTATGGTATGGAATATATTGAAAGTATCTCACATTAATTCTCGCCTGCTCGTCGGCGGCGGCCATATTGCCGAGCGTGTACGCAAGTCGCACGGCGAGCGGTGCGCGGGCGGCGCACGCGGCAAGCGCGAGCAGCAGCGCCCGCGCGCTCACTGATGACGCGCACAGCCACGCGCAGCATGTTTCTTCCGCTGACAATACGCTAGAATTAAAGATTGCTTTTCAGATCGCCTCAGAAGTAAGGTAACGATTTTTCGCGTGGATGCATGTATAACTATTAATCTTTAAAATTAAGTAAACTAACATGATGTGGCCATGATCGAAGAATTGTGTGTCAGTAGATCACTTCACCGGTGGTCAGATGATATTGCTTTTACAGTGGGAAAACAAAGGCTCAAGTTGTCACGAGAATGCCGTTTAAAATTGCTCGAGTGGCTTCTGACGTTCCGGGTTCGATGCCCAGCCGAGTCAATGTGGAAAACTAAGTATTCAATATTGTCTCGGGTACAGGTGTTTACGGTACCGTCGTTGTTTCTTTGAACAAAAGTGGTTTAGTTGCTTACTTTTGAATCAGAGCAACGTTTGTGATGTCGTCTAACATTTATTTATTTTTTTGTTTATTTAATATAAAATTTCTTAGGCATCACTAAAACTGCTATGTAACTGACCTGAGACATCTAGCAACGTTAGTTAGCACGTCTCGATCCGTGTGATACAGCAATGCATTGACTAGTTCACCTAATGCGCCACTGGCGACGAAATCCCGTATTTCCCTGTGCCCCGCCCCGGCCAGATTTCTTAGCGCGCCGGTTAGTTGGTAAAGCGCGTGAATTGAGTGCTCCGATATTGCTCGAGGATTTTCCGCTTTCTGTTTCAGACGAAATACTCTATTTAATATTAATCGATGAAATAATGATTGAATGTGCCAATCGTACAAGTATTTTTATTAATAAAAAGCAAGATCGTATAGACAGCAAGTTTTCTTCTAACGAGTCGTCACCTCCAGCGACTACAAGATATAACGGTGTACAGGGAATCTAATTTGGCCATGCCCAGATTGTTCAATCACAGACAACGTTAAAAGTTGACAAATTAACTAAGTTCCCATTTTCGATAGAAATACACGGATTGAATGGCTAAATTATGAAACAATTGTCAGTTATCTTGCCGGGGTGACCACAGACTAGTTGGTAAGACACGTAAGTACTTTTGACCAAAACTTGTATCTAATCATCTGTACATCATGCATTATACATACTTACCGCATTATTTAGTATCTTGAGATGCAAAGCAGCAAGATGTAGAGCGCCTGCTCGGTGAGCTTGCATACATAAACGAGGCTCCAGAGCCAAGAACCGCAGAGCTCCCGCTCCGTACACGCAGCACTCACCTTCCGTAAGTGGGTCTGCACGGCCATAGCCTTCTACTAACAGTTCTGGAAAATTAATGAAAAAAGAAATATGATAAGTACTTGCAAAAATTACGTTGAGGCATGTTCTAAAAATTAGATTAACTTGATAAATGGTCAGAAGTTCGCATTTGGGGTGTGTCAGCGAGGTATGAAGCGAAATATTTAGCAAGTAAAACCCTGCGGAATAGTATACTGCGCTCCAAAACACAAATCGTTGACATTGGTCAAAAAGCCACCAGGCTGAAATGGAACTGGGCCAGATACATATATTGCCGCATGTCAAGCGCGCCGTGGGTAAAGACCACCACGGTATGGCTCCCACACAACGCAAGCCGGAGACGTGGAAAGCCTAGAAGGAGAGGGCATGACGAGCTAGATCATAGTTCCCAAACTGGTCCCTACCTCCCGCCAGTGGGCGCTGAAGAGTCCTAGGCAGGCGCCTCGGAAGCAATTGGGGGCGTTTATTCTGTCCAGGGGGTGCTATAAACTACACTACATAATTGAATATAATTTTTGTTCATTGTGATTTTTTTGTTAAGTTAATATAAAAAATACTTGTTTTCAATTATTTTTTGTGGTGGTGGGCGTTGAAATTTTGTTATCTTGCCTAAGTGGCCGATGAGTTCAAAAGTTTGGGAGCCTATGAGCTAGATGCTTATACGATCTTTATTTTTTATTTATTTATTTCTCCACAGATATACAATTTACACTTATTCTAGAGACCTGGCCAACCTGGGCATCAGGTTGTTGGCAAGACAACGCTCTTTTACATTATCTACTCTAAATCAAGACAGAACACAGGACAAGCAGCTGAATAACTAAAATGAAATTTTAGGATTTTGACGAAGATGAAAGGAAAAACATTTTGTCGAAGCAATTTCAAAAAGAAAGATAAATAAACAAAGATATCTCACCCAAAAGATTGCTATTCCTGAAGAAATGGTCATTGTTGTCATTTCTGGCAATCTTGAAGACCAGTTTACAAGCTGCAGATAAATGATTTCCAGTTACGCGTATCTGTGAAGGTTATTTTTGGATAAATAAAATACATACATAATCTGGAGATATAAGAAAAAGTCAAAGGCGTCTTGTCTTTGACCTCTTCTTATGTCTCAAGATATGCTTCCTACGCCTATAATTGCCGCCAACTTAGTACAATAGAAAGATAGTCTCAGTCAAATTTAAAACTGTAATCTATTTTAGACTCACCGTCAGCATAGACCTCGCAATTGCAACGAGAACCCTCTCATCATCACTGTCAACGTGCATGTACAGAGCTCTTAATACCAGCTCTCTTAAGCTGCTGGTGGGTTGGCTGCTTTCTAGAAGATTCTGCAGTGCTTCCAAGAGGTAGAATGTTTCGTCCGTGTCACGACTGCGGTGGGAGAGCGCTTCGGCTAGCTCCAGAATACTCATGCTGAAAATATAACATGATTTAGATTATATAATAAATTAAATGACGTTTGTGATTGATTTATATGAAATTTCAAACCTGTTCAACAATGCAAGATGCACTTATTAGAGCCCGAGTAAACAACCTGTGTGAGATTCGCTATTTGCGTATTACTAGTTTTTATGTCGCTTGGTATAAAACTTATATACATTTACTAAAACATCATCAGAGTGCAGTATAACTTACTTGTCATAGTCACAGCAAGAAGCATTAGGCAGTTGTACTGCAATTTGTTTCACAGATATATCGCCGAAAGCGTTGGTCTCGCATGACACCGACTTCGCACCCGAGAACTGAAGACGCCGCTTGCCGGCGTCAGGGCTTAAGGCTGAAACAGCGTCCTGATCTTGAAAAGTTTACTTTTTAAATTAAAAAATAGATCAACGAACTGGCTACAAAGATAGACTCAAATATTCAAAATTAGATCAACTTTCTTTTGGACAAAAAACGACGAGTAGAGGTCTGACCAAACCGCTGACAAAAGGAGACGACTTCCCCTGGACTACTTATAATTGTATAAACAGACCGTATAACCAGAATCTTTTGCTATAGATACCAGAAATTTTAAGTTAAAGCTACTCCGTATTAAAACGTCGACGGATATTGTGAAAATGAAATGTTATTTGTGAACATATTGAAGTAGTTAACTTACACTTGGTACCTTTCTCATTGTTGATTTCGTTGCTGTCTCTATTGCTTCCGAGCGGTCTAGTAACCGATATTGCTTGTGCTAAGTCGTTTCCCACAGTAGATTCTGAAAGAAACGATTTAGAAGTATATTCATTCGTATTTAAAAATATAATCTTCGGCCAGAAGACGGCTGTGGAATATAGACTGCATCAGTGCCAAAACCTAGTTCAATGTTTCGACTTCATAAACAAAGCACCTAAACAGTTCGTTTCCAATCAGAGTGGGTTGTAACACACCGCGTAATTCTAAAAAAAAAAGGATGCTGGTATGTAATATATTGATTAATTAGTGTGTCTTCTAGCGGGATAACTTATAAGTTGCATGATAGGTTTTACTGTTAGGTTGGCAAATAAAATACCTTCAGGTGAAACTCCACTGGTGTTTCTTCGATGCAGTGGTTTGCTGCGCCCATTGAGATGCGGCAGCTTGGGTAGTCCTGCCCACCCATCTCCCGTACGCTCTTGTGTTGACCGCGCTTGTTTACGAAGCTAGAAATGAATAGTGAGACTTTGAATTTTAAAAATGCATTTATATGTTAATAATAACAAAATCAAGTATCATCATGAAAAAATCGTGATTAATCAAGGAATAAAAATAAAATTTTACAAACGAAGTAATTTTCCTGCTTGTGGAAAGTTGCCTGAGTTAGGAACACACCACACTTATTAAGGCATAATTGACTTAAATCGGTCAGAAAAAGCATTATGTCCATGCAGATATCATCATCATCAACCTATTTATACGTCCCACTGCAGAGCACGAGTCTCCTCTCATTAAGCCATAGACCGCACCTTGGTTCAATGAGGATTGGGAATTTCACACATTTTCCGATGTTTGTAAATCTTCTTCGACCTGCAGGTTTCATCACGATCTTTTCCTTCACCGAAAATCTCATAGTAAACTTTTCATACATTCTGGGAAAACTCAGAGAACCCACGGCCTCTGCTTGACAGGCGATAGGTTAGACCATTTGGCTACCACGGCTACGCAATAAGAGCGAAAAAGACGTTACATATTGTGCTTCCGCTCGGTCATCTTAAGGGCGCATTTATTCAACACGAATTTCATTGCGCTCACCCCGCGCGGTCGCCGAGCGGAGGCCGCGTTGCAGCCGCGCAGCGACCGCGTGCGTCTAACTGTCATGGCAAAATACGCTCTATTTATTTAGCTTTTATGTTTTTACTTAAATGAGCATCTCGGGCACACAGGCGAGTCTGGCTCCAATTTGGTATACGCGGGAGCCGCGCGGCGACCGCGCGAAATCTTTCACCTCGTGTACTTGGGCGCTTACTTATAAAGAGTGATTATTCATAAGATGGCAAAACTTTTTTTTATTTCAAATTTCTTATCAAAGGTGTTAATTTCGATGTATTACTTCAAGAATAGGCAACAGCCAGGCTGTGAATATGAAGGAAATGCGATGTGAAACCAGCCTGCGAAATTTGTATATCCATTTTTTGCATTTCAGTAACTTTGTGCTTTAAGATACGAGTTTGAGAAAAAAAGGTGACGATATGGACTTAAAGGTTTTTATGACTGGCTTAATGCAATTCCGTGTCGACATGTGTGGTGGCTCCCTTATGTGATTTTAACGGTCGGACCACCGAAACCGTGTGATCCAACGTCTTTATATGGCAATGTACTATTATTCGGGTGTTTAAAGTTTTCATGGAATACGGGTATAGTATTCCTAGGCTATTTAGACATTAAATATTAAACAATTTGAAGCTGATGACAATATGTCAGTGCTTTTTAAAACACTTACAACTGGTTTTTTCCTAGTATTACTCGTTGATTCAGTCAATAGCACTCCGTTAAGGAGTTCTTCCTCCAAAATGGCGATTCTCGCCCCTGTGACAGCTGCTAGCGCTTCGTCATTGTTCTCTTGGAGACTCAAGTATTTGAGGCTGAAAGAATGGTAAAAAAATATTACTGTGTAAGAATTATACACTCATCAAAAATGTTTAGGGATCAAGCACGTTTTTGCCAATTACTGAAAATCAGGTTTTTTAAACCTTTTTTTTGAAATTGATTTTTTTTTTGGTAATTTTCATAATTTAATCAATTAATGTAATAATTTTATTTTATTTTGTTTAAATTTTAATATAATTAATCAAATATTTGAAAAAAATGCCTTTTATCCCTAGACACTTTTGATGTGTGTATTTTGGAGCAAAATCGTGGTCAGTAACGGCGATTACGGAATTTGGTATAATTCTATACTTATTACAAATTTCGATGTAAAAAAAATCTTTTTTAGACACAAAGAGGCAACTCCTCCCAATATCCACCTTGTAATCCTGTGGATTTTCACTACTAAGGGTGCATATTACGATCCGTCCATCCATTTTTTTGAAGATCGACTCAAGTGCATATTATTATATTATATATATATATGATCTAACGATTTTTTGTATCGGTCTATTCCAATGCGATTTTTAAGCGAAACGATTCAATAGAAGACAAAACGAACCGTCTAGATCAGAAAACAATAAAATATCATTAAATTTGAACTACATTTACAACAAATGTTTAGTTGTAAAAAGTTTTTGCCCTCAGGCGTGGGATGGATAGATGATGGGATAGGCACTTGCCCATCTCTGTGCATCCTTTCAAATGGCTACGGCCTATCGTTAATTTAGCCTTTGAATATTCAATTGGACATCCACTAGAGTATATAACAAAAATTATTCGTAAGCAAAAGTCACACCTGTACCTCTACCACGAGCTTACTGTAAGAGCTGTCGCTAGTGATCGCATAAAGTATTTGACAATTCTATTTGGAAAATTTTACAGCGCCCTCTAGTAGTCACATGAAGAAGTAACATTTTACATACTTTTTTACGCGATATGACTATAAATTCAAGGTATTGATCGTAAATTCGGTAACAATTAGTAGTAATTATTGTCCGTTATGAAACACTGGATACCAGATTTAACAAAGAATAGCGGAAATTAATGTACTCAAAAGCGCTAGGCGGTCTAGTGTCCTTCTTGCGGGTTCGTTCGGTGAAAAGAGTACGCTGCGGTTCTCTAGGTGTGAATGGGCGTCGCGTGCGCAGGGAGCGGAGTGCGCCGCCTGCACCGCTGGACGGTCCGCTCATCTCTGTAAAATAAATATCAAAACCATATTTATATGTATGTATATCTAAATATACATCAAGTAGTTGACTCATCATTTCATCAATATTCAATAAAAAAATATATATAGTGGCTTAGTTTGCTAGTTGCCGTCGGATCAAATCCGGCCGGATCGAAGGAATTTTTCCTAAGTGTTCGATCTTTATATTAATCTTAGAATAATAACGCATAGAATGATAGTTTCATATCAAACGAATTGTCACAAGTGAAGCAAAAATCAAATTCATGTAGGCTAGTTTTAGTAGTAGGTTAATTTTCGGTTTTAGTGAATATTTATATAAAAATACAAGTCGAAACGCGTTACTTCCTTGTGGAATGTGATGTTAGTATCTATTTTATGTTTGTCTGACGTACTTTACACTCATTTACCGCACATTTCGTCATTTTTACCTAAAATTCTTGAGCTGTTCGCGGTGCAAGTTGACCTTGAGCACTGACGGCCTGCCCGCTCGTGTAGGCCCTTTGGGAGCGCTTCAATTTGCCTCACTTAGCGTGTGCGGACTAGGTTTCTATGCGTTATTATTCTAAGATATTAATAATAACCTAACCTAACCTCCGGTTTAAAAAACCGACCTCAAAAGACATACATCCCCTAGTTAGTGTGTGGAATATTTTCTTGAAATTTAAATGGGACCACACCTGAGATACCTTCTTTCCAATAAAAAAAGAATCATCAAAATTGGTTCACAAATGGCGGAGTCATCGCGTAACATATGTACATACAATAAAAAAACATACAGACGAATTGAGAACCTCCTCCTTTTTTTGAAGTCGGTTAATTATAATATAAAACTAAGCAGTAGAGTAATTTCACAAAAAAATAATTTAATATCAATTCAGTAAAAATTTAAATATTATAAGTAATTAAATGAAAAATTAAAACAGTCCAAGTGCTCTATTTTGACGTATAAATTGGCCGGGATAAGAGAGATAAACACGAACGCAATGAAGCTCTGTTGAAACATTGCCGTGCAGTTATGTCTAGGTGCTTAGGTTTTCGCTCTCAATTCCATCAAATATATTTTACCCCCATAATATTATTCATATATTTTTTGTGAAAATACCTCACTAGTTTGTTATTATTGTCGATACAAAGATCGAAAAAATACAAAGAAAAATTTCGTCATTCCGACTGGGCTCGAACCAGCGTCTGTTGCCTCAACGTGGGCGCAACAAGAACATAGACAAATTCCTAAAATCTGTAGGCTTGATCCGTAGCTCAGATGACAGAGCGGTAGCAACAGACGTTGTGATTCGTCCAGTCGGATCCAACATTGTCTTGTACGTCTTCATAAAGTCTCAAATTCATTTAATGTATACGCTTCTATAATAAGATTCCGATTGATATTCAAAATTAGCCATTTATGAAGTTTAAAACTATTGTGAAACAAAAACTTTATACTAAAGGTTATTTATACAACTTCTGCGAACTTGGATGACAAAAATCCGTGACAGTGCTCGTTTAGCTCTTTCAGGTATTCTCGATCTAAGATGTTTAAATTAAATATTGTACCTATAAATGTTTTCAAATGTATATTTACAAAGAGCAACGCCTAGAGTTTCTTGCTCATTCTTCTCAGGGGAATCTTGCCTTACGAATGAGCAGTAGAGTTTAATCAGTATGACGAATCAGTGTAATTTGCTTACTTACGAAATAAAGATTATTTTACTTTGACTTTGTACCATGTTTAAAATATTCAAGGAACATAGTTATTATCGGAGTTTATTTATATTTTACAAACTATATTAACTCATTTATGTTCCTATGCCAAGTACGTGTCTCAAACAATTAAAACATTATTAAACTACTGACCAAACGTGTATTGACACCATAGATAATATCTATGATTGACACTCGAAACGTTTTCGAAATATTGTTTAAACTTTCCCAGATACGCGACGACAGCAAATCGATATGATGAACAAACTATTATTAGTATAATTAAATATACTTTTTATTTTTTTTATTATTATTATAGTTGAAACAAGACTATACATATAGGTACACCTATATTCATACATTCAAACACAGTAAAAGTTTAAACGAAAGAATATAGCTAGAAACAGAATGAAAACAGCGAATAGAGAGGTATTATGCACCAAACCATTGTAGAGTCAAACGCAAAAGTCAATAATAAACACCACACTTAGAAGATTCCCGAAAAAACATGAGTAGTAATAAAAATCAATACGCTTAATTAGAGAAAATCTGGTTTAAGCCAGTACAAAGCAGAACTTTGCGTGTTAGTTGGATTATTCACCCCTCTGTAACTAATGGCAACCAAGGAGGTTACAATAAGGCACGACTTGACCAAGTGCGCGGTTCAAGCACCTTAGGTAGGTTTAGATTTGGAATAATAGGGTAGTCCGTTATGCGGAACTTGAAAGGTATGATTTGTGAATGGATTAGCATATTATTTTCTTTCAGTATTTTCCTTTTGAAAAGAAATTTTAGGCATTTTGTTTACTTTTTTTTATTTACTGGTCTTGAAATTTTTAATGATACTTTTCATAAATTTAAATGTAAATTGCGTGTTCCTACAGCTTAATACTTTATTTTCATTGTTATTTTATCTTTCATAAAATATTTAATTAAACTATCATATTTACATCCACCAACTATTTATTCCGATCTTCAATCAACTATTTGCCTGAAATTGCCGTACATAAATTAATTATTTGGATTGATTAATATTTAAAAACTTTATTTTATTATTTTCATTATTTTGTGCATCTGGGTACATATTGAGTGATGTGGACACTTGTAATTGGCTTACACATTAGAACTGTGCCTTAAAAATGTTGTCTTTTATCTTATTTTTCTATGTGTAATCTGTTGGTGCTCCAAATAAATAAATACATCGTACGCAGGGCGCTCGCGATCAGGTGTAATATAGTGGTACGAAAGTTTGCACGTTGTAGTGAACAAGTAAAAATCTTGCTATTTAAATCATACTGCCAAGTTTCCTATAGGTAGGTGCAGCCTATGGTCTGACTATACGCATAAGGCCATCAGTGCCCTGTGAGTGCCACATAACAATGGTTTTCGGATATTGTTGGAAACAGTGATGTCCGAAAACTAGCACGTCAGGCATTGTTGCACAGGCAACTACTTCCTGGCCACTAACTTTAAAAATTTAGAATTATGCGGAAAAAGTCAGCCTCTCTGCTCTGCCAAACCAATACTCGAAACTATCGCGAGGAGAATGCGGTCTCCTGTTATGCAGGGTAATTTTCATATTAGTTTTCTCTACCTAATTTCGGTGGCAATTTTTTTTATTTGAATATTCTAGAATATTATCATGACGTATTATTTATTATTGGAGGGAAATGCACCTGAAATATTATTTAATATTTCACGATAATATACTCGAATACTGAAATAATAAAAATGTTCGCCAAAATTAGAAAGAGAAAACGAACATGAAAATTACCCGGTAACTTTTTACGCCTTGGGTCCTATTTAAGGCTTACGAGCGAATTCAATTTTAATTTTACAATTTTAGATTCTCTACTAACACAATTAACCGACTTCATAAAAAGGAGGAGGTCCTCGATTCGACTGTTTTTTCAGTGCGTATGTTACGCGATTGTTCCGGAATGTGCAAACCGATTTCTTTTTTGCTTTGTTTTGATTTTATATTGAAATTGCATTCAATGTACTGCCATCTAGCGACAAATGGCTGAAAGACGACGAACGATAGTCGTCTACGAGTAGCGTGGAAGATTAGAAACGTTAACATATTTATGTTAACGTTTCTAATCAAAAGAATAATTTATTAGAGATGTGCCGAGTACTCGTTTGCTACTCGGCACTCGATGTACTCGGCCGCTTTTTTACTACTCGTACTCGGCCGAATAACTCGGTTCATAAGAAGAGTACTTGGTTAAAATAAAGCATTACAGCTATAGACATAATAAATTAAAACCAACAATATATTTAAAATAATCAAAAGAGATTTATTACTTCAAATTCTAGACAATTGTAACAATTTGTAGCAATTTAGTAATTTCAAAAGAAAGTTTACATTATTAATATTTAAAATATAACAAAGGCAAGTTATGATATAGGAATACAAGACTTTCTGCGCGTTCAGGTAATAGTCTGTTCCTTTTTCCTTCATACACATTACCCGCTTCGGCAAATAACCGCTCGCTATACACAGTGCTTGCAGGTGCATATAAAAACACTCGTGCTAACTATGCTAATTTTGGACATCTTGTTTTATGCCCTGCCCACCATTGGAAAGGACTGTGCTCTCGCGACAATACACTTTCATTGACATATCGGTTTAACGCACAAGCACACGCACAAGGACACGCACAAGCACACGCACACGCACACGAACACGCACACGCACACGCACACGCAGAAGCACACGCACAAGCACACGCACAAGCACACGCACAAGCACACGCACAAGCCGACGCACATGCTCACGCACAAGCCCACGCACAAGCCCACGCATGAGACCACGCACCAGCCCACGCACGAGACCACGCACAAGCCCACGTACAAGCCCACGCACAAGACCACGCACAAGCACACATACAAGCACACGCACACACACACGCGCACAAACACACACACACACACACACACACACACACACACACACACACACACACTCACACACAGAGACACACTATATGTATTATACTTTTACACACATTATGTATGTATGCATTGTTTGCACTCGAGTCCGTGCTTCACTCATATCGGACTTGCTGAAAACCAGCGCTGTAGGTAGGATATCCTGCCCGTAGCAAAACGCTGAGCAAGGTCTCTTTTATTATTACTCGTATTAATATTGTGTGTTTACTGTGATGTGGTGAGATTATCAAAGGTAAATTGCATTTGTGTGCAAATTACTTTTCTTTGTCTATTTGTCGTATTATGCTTTAATTTTCTAACAAATTACACGGTGCCGGCAGTTGAAAAACCATCAGACGACTTTACGATCGGCACATAATGTCCAGAACAAACTAATTAGCGTTTTACAGTTTTATCGTGTGGGTGGCTGATTGTTTACTTTCCTGGTACTGTTTGACATCATCGATGAATAAAAATGGGGAAAAAAAATAGTCCATTGTTGTAATAAAATAACAAATGCTGATGATATCAATGCGTATAGGTGTACGCACGCACCTTTGGTGTAATAAGACTAGCAAAATGAGAGCTTTTCAATCAGAGAGGTTTAAAGACTACGAACGAAAATACTCGATAACTACACGCATCAGTTTTGTCAATTGCTGAAAAACTGGTTTTTAATAATTTTTTTAACACCAATGGATTTTTTTGGATAATTTTATAATTTGAATTTGAAAATGAAATTGCCTAATAAAACCATTGGCGTTAAAAAATGAATTAAAAAACTGACTTTAAAATTTCATCATCATCAACCCAATACATCCCACTGTTCTCCTCTCAGGCGAGGGTTTAGACCGTAATCCGCCACTTTGGCCCCATGCGGGCTAGAGACTTCATACGTTTTCCAAAGGTTGTGAATCACTCGACATGCAAGTTTAATCACTATGTTTACCTTCACCAAAAGCTCATGGTGAATTCCAAATTAAATTTCGCACTAAAATTCCGAGAAACTCAGGGCTGCGCGCACAGATTCGAACCCATGGGTTCTGCTTGAGAGGCAGGCATTAGGCTACCACGGCGTCAGGTATAGGTACATAATTATACAATGTACACATGTGACTTTATCATGCCAGAGTATGAAATATCAACATACTATTACCATTACCATCCACGATTACCATTTTCCATCAAGTGGATCGTATGGCTGTTTGCTGGTTGAATACCATAAACAAAAAACCTTCGCACTCGAGTATACGCCTGACTCTTATCAAAGCGATCGCTGAAGAAAAATGATGCAAGTTTTTGCGTGACTCAAGGCAATTTGTGCCATAACGATGTGGCATTGTCGTGCAAAATTAACGCTTTCTGATAACTGAAGCGGCGTTAGATCTAAAAAAAAGCGTTATGCTGGCTTGGTTTGATAAACGGATCGATATTCCAATAGGTATAAATAAAAATAGCAATGTCGATTAGCTAGATATATTCCGAGTGGATTGAGAAACGGTTCCCCAATTTCTTTAATAAATAGTTAACAGTTGAGCTCTTTGATGTTAATTAAGTTTATTGATATTCCACTATGATGTTCAATTATTTCTGTGAAATTACTATACTTACTAGTTCGTTGTAATTTATAAATACAAAGATCGAAAACTTAGAAAAAAATCCATCGAACCGGCTGGATTCGAACCAGCGTTTTCTAGCAAATCGTGTTAGACTGGTGAAATTACAGGCACATGAGACTTGTCAACTATGTCTCAGGATGACGGGCACAGTGGCAGTGGCCCTTAGGTCTTTGTGATTTAAAGCTCTAACTGGCACTGTAACTGTTATGGACAGGCGTGTCGTTTACCATCAGGCGCATGACTTGTTCGTCCCGTCACTTGGTACCTCAACCAGTACTGAGTACTAAAAACACCGACCTCTAAAGTTCGTTACCTGACATATCGTCGTCTTAAAGTTACTGAAATGCAAAAAATGGATTGTATATACAAAAGTTGCAGGCTGATTTCATATCACATTTCCTTCATATTCACACACTGGCTTTTATCTATTCTTAAATTAATGCATCCAAGTTAACACCCATGATAAGAAATTTAAAATAAATAAAAAGTTTTGCCCTCTCCTGAATAATCACTCTTTATAAGATACGAGTTTGAGAAAGTAAGGCGACGATATGGCGTGATTTGTTTTTAAATTTAGGTTTTACAACGTAACGATTCTTTTATTTCTTTGGGAATTTCATTCATTACATAAAGTATAATATATTAGGTACATGTTCCATATAAATTCTACTTTTAAGAAGGACTCTCCCCTAAGTAGCTTAACCTCAAGATTATAATCTAAATCCACAAGCTGGCCGAATGCAGGACTCAATCGATGCCTCTAGAACCTTCGGCATTGATGTTTCTAGAACCTTCCTTGCAATCGATATAAATAGAAATATTTCCTAATGACACTCCATTAAATTCCACGATGTAAGAGTCACAATAGTGCCTTGCAAAATATAAAGAAAATAACTATTTGTAGTTGTCACAATACAATAGACCCGTTTTGACAGCCACGAAAACGAGAGAATGTACATTTGAATAATATGAACGACAAACATAAACAAGTAATTATGAAGTTATTGCGTATAAAAACGGAGACTTTAAAATTATTGCCACACCAAATTATTTCACATTTCAAGTATTTACTTTCACGTGTATTCCAAAATAAAATGCAATTTTAAATTACTATTAATTAATAATCATAACAGTTAGTCCATAGTCCTACTGATACTGGTCTTGGGCAGTGGTTCTCACATTGGGAACTTCACACACACCATTAAATTGTTTTGTAGATGTGTGCAGGTTTACTCACGACGTTTTCAAATTTAAAATTAAATTACGCACATAAATTCCGAAAAACTCAGAGGTGCAAGCCTGAATGCGAAATCACGACCGTATTTTGACATGGCTAATGGCTAATGGCTACCACGGCTTTTTTTGCCTTCTTTTTCAATTACTTGGAAACTTTTAAAATAGTTACTTCTTTAATATATTTTTTATATAGTGTTGTAAGTCATTAACCGCTGAATTTCACCGATTCAATTCGATTCCACGTAAACGTACTAATAAGTTAATTAAAAATATAAAAAGTGCTTAGTACTTACAATCGTACAGTCAGGTTTCTTTCAATAATATAAAATAAGGAAGTATAAAAAAAATAAACTAAAATTAATTGTTCTATCTAGAATTTAAAACTTATAAAAACCATTAAAATCTCTAATTATATGGTCCTAAAAACAATCTGAACTATCACAAACTCTTAAAAATTGCCTAATATAGTTAACGATTAATTGTTCACATCTCTAGTTACGTTGACAGGTGTAAAAGTGACGACTGTAGTAGTGGTAAAAACGTAGTATAATACCAATTTGACGGCCTACGTGGTCGAGTGGCTTGCACACTGGTTTTCATGGTATCGCCATCTCTGAGGTCCCGGGTTCGATCCCCGGCCGTGTCAGTGTAGAAAACTGACTTTTCTATATTGTCTCGGGTCCGAGTGTTTGTGGTACCGTCGTTGTTTCCGATTTCCATAACACAAGGGCTTTAGCTACTTACTTTGGAATCAGAGCAACGAATGTGATGTTGTCTAATTTTAATAAAAATTATTTATTTAATTTATACTTGATTATCGACCACCCCGTACTGAAATCAAGTTCTTACTGACACTTGATTAACAGCTTTTCAATTCAGTCCAGGAAAAAGACCATTGTTCACGTTCAAAGTATAAAGAAAGAGAAGAAAATTGTCCCTGTTAACAGGGTTACCTCCATAGACTGCAGCACGGGCTTCGCTGATGATTTCTGCCGAGGTTTTACGGCGCGGTGGCGCGTAGAACGGTGCGCCCGCGCCGCGCCGTCCGCCTCGGTCACTCATCACTGTAACAATACAACATTTTCACTTATGTCTATTATTGTTTAATTAATTAAGCTAAACAAATTTTCTGAATTTTTACATATTTGCATGTCAATAGATGGCATTGTGTGTTTTAAACTAATTTATAAATTAACGCTTCCTAATGGCGCTAATCCTAAATCAAATAAAAGAATAGCCGGCACTAGCCTTATCTATAAAAACATGTGCAAATAGCGCCATCTAGTTGATTTGTTTGTTATCACTAGAAATTAGAGTAGCTTTGATAAATTGCTGCTTGTCAATTGAAAACAAATTTAGGTATAGATACAATAGTAGCTATTTGGTACTCGTTGCGACGTCGTGTACTAAATACCCGACTACGCTGTATTATATCGCGATTAGTAATCCTCTTGAGTTATATTATAGTTATATAGGTCTATGATTTTACTAAGTTAAATCTATGAATGACAGACGCTTTTCTCAAACACCATACACTCTTTTTTCTAAGGTACCTGCAGCTTGATTTTGATTGCCTCTCACAATCGGAAACTGCGTCTTTTCCGAGTCGAGGCGCATAATTGCGATTCGCAACTGGGCGATCCGAAACTTTTCACATTTCTAATCGGAACAATAGTTGATTTAACTCACAAATTAGAAAGATATAGTAGAAATCAGGTTTATCTTCTCGCTCAGAAATCAATCTCATTTCGAGACTACTCGATCGGATCGATCCCTATTTGAATCAAAATCAGGACGCTGGTCTGATTTCTCATATGCAAAATTTATATGTACGTAAAAGGTTCGACCACAACCGACTCTCTGTCTCAAATTAGAATCTCACACAGGTAGAGGTTGCTGTTCGTCTTGTCTAGGTGTCTGTACGGTAAGATTATTGGGTGTAATTCCTGAGCTTCTTTGAATTTACATTTGTCCCAGAGTACTTTGAACCCAATTAGAAATGATGAACAGAGAGCTTTTATTACAACGTTATAAAACAAATTAAAAAACAGGTTAAAGGAAAAGAAAAAGAAGACGTAAAACAACATAACAAACACAACAATAAAATACAATAAAAAATAAATAAAATAAATAAAACTGTTTATTTACTTTAACTTAGGTCTAGTTTACAATTCAGGGTTCGAAACTCCATTTAAGTAAATATATACTTGTGCTAGTCCCGCACTTCTACATTACAAATACCTAATATCTAGTGTAATTGATTTTACTTAACAGTGATTTAAGATTAGGTGTTTATAGTAAATGTGTGTGTGTGTGTGCGTGCGTGTATGAAAGTGAAATATTTTTTTTTCGGATCTAATGCCAACGTTTTCGTCAGCCAGTCGTGACCACGGGATCACGGGACGTGTAAAGAATTACAACATTTCCTACAAATACGTTTAATGTTATGTGTATCGCATCGAATGTAAAAATAATCTCACTCAAAGTTATGGTTTAGACTTTCGTTGCATTGCTTACCAGAAAAAATTTCAAAATGAACTGCCTAAACTCTGCAAGGACGAGCGGACGGACTGACTTAGGTACTAAAGTCAAATAATGTAGCGCCATCCGGTGCTTGAGTGTTGAAAATACACGCGAATTTTAATACCCATTAATGGAGTTTCGAAGACTATTACCTTTTACGCAGTAAAGTACAACTTAAGAACTAATAATTATTTTATAAAAAATAATCACATAGGTAATTATTGTTTATGTAAGAATATCTTGTAACAGAAACAATTTGAAAGAGAACTTGTCGGTTTTCAAGTTATAGTTTATTACGTAAAAGGTAAATGTCTTCGAAAGTTCACTAAAATTCGCGTGTTTTTTTAACATTCACGCATCGGATGGCGCTACATAATTTGACTCTACTACCTGCGTTACGTCAGACCGTCCGCCCGTCCTTGCGGAGTTTAGGCAGTAATTTTTTAAGAGTTTCCGGTAAGGAATTCAACATTTTCTTTTAACAAAAGTCAAAGTCATGACTTTAATAAAGTTATTTGTAAATGACGACTAACAAATTGTGCGCCTGGTGGTAAGCGAAACGCCTGTCCATAACAGTTGCAGTGTCCCTCAGAGCTTTAAATCGTAAAGATGTGAGGAGCACTGGAACTGCGTCAGTCACTATGAGACATAAGTTGAAAAGTCCCATGTGCCTGTAATTTCACCAGCACCCTTCAAAACCGAAACGCATTAATGCTCACATTACCGCTTGGCGTTAGCTCTTCCCAGGATAAGAAGCTGTGGGGACTGTAGGGCAGGACCTCTCGCTGCCGAGGGTGGTTGCCGCCATGCTCGATAGCGAGGAGTCCTGGGAGGCGGTGGCCTCCTTTTGTGCAGAGGTTATGTCGCATATGGAGGCCGCGGAGCGGGTGCGCGAGGACGCGGCGGACGCGCACCCGCTTCGGCGCAGACGTACGGGGAGAAGGCGAAGGCAGTTCGCTGCTCGCCTGATCCCCCAGTGAGACCAGCGGGCTCTGGACAGGGACTCCGGAGCCTGCATTGCACGGCCTCACTCGTCTGGGGGGCGGGTCGGAGGACAACCGACTCGTCCCTCCGTTAGCGCGGGAGCCCTGGCGTAAGCTAGGGCGGCCGGGCGGCGTCGTGGTGAATGTTCACTGATCCCACGGCGCCGACTCAACCGGCGAGAGGGAAACCCGGGGGGGTTTTAGTGGGGTAGGCCCTCCAGTCTGGAGGGAGAGTCCCCACATAACCCCTCAGTCTCCCTGGGCTCAGGGGTATCCATAAAGATTTCCCCCCCGTCAAAAAAAAAAAAGGATAAGGAGCTGTACTGCTACAAGATAAATGTCTAATGAGCACTTATTTTAAACATAAAAAGTTCACAATAAAAAAAAATCCTTATAACAAGGTTTTTCTCTTGCTACATTCAAATGTAAGACAGGAATTGGAAAACTCAAATGATCATATATATTATGGTAATTCAATCTGCAGAAAAAATATACACAAATGCAAATACAATTTATTCAAATGTTGTCTACAATCACATGTTATCTGTAATCAATTTCCACCAATGCTATTAGGGCACGCCATATGAAACTGGGGCGTTGAATTGACAATATCATGCTTTGACCTCGTCGGTCGATGAATCCGATAGCCTACTTTCTGCCTATAGACAGCTGACTTTGTAATTCACCTATTTGTTTATGTCATTGAAATAATATTAAATTAATCGAATATCGATTCTGTACACTAGGACAATCGGCGTCAAAATAATAACGAAAAAATAACATTGGTACACGTACAAGCAGCTATTAGCTGCAGACTTATCGTTAGAACATCGAAATTGAACATGATGTTGTTATAAGGAAGAAATTTCGTAACATGGCCAACAACCATGTAACTATAACCAATGTAACCATTTTATTAAACAGAAATGAAAATGGTAAACAAGGGTTTTGGTATGTGGGTTTCATATTGCGCAATGCTAAGAATTTCAAGAAGTCTTCATCGAAAATAAAACTCTTTCAACCATTAGTACGACATGGACTAGAATTCAACAGTGTTATTGGGACTCCTCATTACGAAGTGTACATGAAACGTTTCGGAGTGTTCAAAAACGCTTTATGTATCACTTGGCACATGGTGATTTTAGAGCTAGAAGACTACCGGAGCGCTCACATAGACTCAAGCATTACAATTTGACTTCTTTGGTCAATCGTAGAAAGAGACTTGATTTAATATTCCTACACAAACTTGTTAACGTTTCATTACATTGCCCTCAATTATTGAATACTGTTGCAATTCATACTCCTTGTAGGTTACCCAGAGAAAGCGCTTATAACTTTTATGCCGTACTTACCAGGTTCAAAAACGAACCTCAGTCATCTCCCTCTTTTGCCAAGGCTCTTCAGGATGTATAACTCGCTTTTCAAATCACACGATTTGAACATTAGTCTTGGGTTAAACAGTTACAAGGTTGGGTGATATTATAAATACATAAATTAATTACATTTCAATTAATCACAATTAATTACATTCAATTTTACAGTACTTAGTAAATTCTTTAAAATTTATATTTTAATTTTTAAATCGGTTTGTGTATACATATCGATTTTATAGGTAGATAGATCAATACAAAGATCGAACACTCAGAAAAAAACACTCAGAAAAAATTCCTTCGATCCGGTCGGATTCGAACCGACGTCTTCTTGCATACCGTGCCAGACGCTATACCAACTAAGCTACGGAACGAACCAACGGACCTCACGAATTTTTATAACGAATTCACGAAATTCACGAATAATTATAAGAAACTAGTGAAGTAAAATCACAAAAAATAATTGAATATCAATTCAATAAAGATTTAATTAAGATAGATCAATTTTATATATTCGCATCAAACAACAATAATTTTGTTAACATTTCATTGCATATTGTTGTCATTGCATGCTGTGATGTTCCTTAAGTGTAGAAGTACTTAGTTTGTTCGATATTTAATGTGTAATGTTTTTCTATGTGGAATGTCCTGAATAAATAAATAAATAATAAACAAAAACAAAAGTCATGTGTAACACTTACTACACTGAATTAATCAAAATTTATAAAATTCTTCCGGTTTACAACATAAATATCTTCGGGCTGTCAATAACTATAGCGCCAAGTAACGCGGCTCTTTATTGTGTACGGTTGATAATAACCATAATACAAGGTCGATGACTGGTAACATTGTAATCCCAAGAGTTTACTACTGGAAATAGAACCTAAAAAAACGTATTCCGTACCTGTTAAATGGCATATGATAAGCTACTAGTGCGCCTGAAGGGAATATCGACCAAGTAAGGATGATACCCCGCGCCGTACACGTATTCTGATGGTAAAAGGTATGAGCGGTATGGATGGTTAAACGGTATGAGCTGATGGAGCTCATGAGCACACTCGCTGAAATATGTTCTCTAGAAAACAGTCAAGAAACCGAAAAGTATCAGTTTATACCTTTTTGTTCAATTGAGACTCGTTTGGACCCTGCAGACAAACTGTGTATTTGCAAGACCGTACAGTCGTCT